ACCAGCGCCACAGAGGCTGCGGACAGCTTCACAGCACTGCACTCAACTGGCTGTGCCACCAGGGAGGCCCCAGGATAAAGAAGATTTTTAAGGATTGATAATTTACAGCTGCTTCAAATATAAAATCACTAGCTACCCATGACAATCTTAACTCATCTTAATACAAAGTAAGAGATACCTTAATATGGATATTAAGATATAATAATAGATACCTTAATACAAAGTAAAAGATATCTGCCTAGTCAACTAGCACAACTGAAAACCATCAATGAATGATAAACCAGCTGTGTAAAGAAGGAAAGGTATAGGAGAGTCAGCCCCCTCAGGCTGAGGCAGACACTGGCAAGAGAAGATCCTCACTCACTGACTGTTCCTCAGATTTGTCCAACAGAATGACAACATTAAATTGTCAAAAAATTTAGAGTTTCTACCCACTCTGTGACATGATGATATACACATAGGGGCAGTTGTCTGACTTTTCTCTTATTAAATCATGTTCAGTCAGGCAGAAACTACTGCAGTTTTAATATAATACCCGTCAATATCAGGGAAATGAGAACTGAGAAGAAAAGAGGCACAACACCTGGTAAATGCCTCTGGGAGCAAAAGAACATCACTTTACTTTCACCATGCCTACAATGCAGAGTTACAAAGGCAATGAGGAGTCACAGTGCTACTGACACTCCATGGATATCTTGAGTTGTGTAATTTCCAGAGGGATTCAAAACCATATTAGACTATCTTATTCCTTTTTACTTCCTTTGTTGAAGCACTTCTGTACACTGTTTTACTTAAATAAGTGACCTAAGAGACAGGAAATGTGTGAGGACTGGGCAAAGCACCTACTGCTCTTTCTGCCCGTGACCATAAGCACTGGTCGTGGTGAGCTGTAGACCACTACTTCAGAATCACTGTGCAAACTTAGTCCAAATGCAAAGGACATACCCTTCCAGAACAACAGAAGGAGACGTGCTGTGGGACAAAGTCCCAAAGGCTTTACAAAGCTCTCCAGGTGGCTTTTGTGTATACTTGAGAATTCACAATCATTACAATAGTCACACTACTAATCTCTTAAGTGCCAATCTATACACTGGGAATAACAACAACCTGTCAATTAGGGTAAAGGGAGGATAGAAATAAGAAAAAAGGAGACTAATCCTTAAGAACTAGTGAAGAGAGCTCACAAAATGGTCCCGCCCTAAAGATCTTCCTTCAAGGTTTTTATTTTGTCTATACATTTGGCAAACAAAGAAAAAGAAATTATTTAGAATTAAGAAAGCTATAGAGTTGCTGAAGAAGCATTTTTATGCCTTTTCAATTTGATCTTATAATAAGAATGAAAGTATAGTTAAGAAATTATGCTTAAAAAGGAAATATCCTAAGAAGAGAAAATTATTTTTATGGAGGTGAGCTTTTTAAGATTTTATCATAAACACAAGTTTTTGCTTTTTTAAAGAAGAAAGTCAAAAGATTAGGCAAAAAAAATCATTCTAGGAAGAAATTTTGAAGTACCTGGTGGTCAAAGGCATGGTTGATTAGATCTGGGACCACCGAAAGTGGCTAAAAGACCTGGGCAAGATATTAAACTTGTGAGGACATTTCCAATTCCAGAGAAATGGATTTGACTATTTATGATCTCTTAGGTTCCTTCTAACATTAGAGTGCCTTGATTTATTTGGGCACATTCTTTATAAGAGAATAATCGTGTATTCAGAACCATAGACATCAGTATGCAGACATTAAAAGTCAACTTCCTTACCTGAGAAGACTAAGTGGCATTACTCCTGGGGACTCAGATGCAGGCACTGTTTCTGTATCAGTGACTGGAGTGGTGGCAGTTGTGGTATCCTCCAATGAGCTGCTCATAAAGGAAGTTGTACTTGACGCTGATGGGCTAGTGGTAACCGGTGTCTGTGCCTGCTGGGCTTGGTCGCTTTCTTCAGCTTGTTGATCAATCTCTATAAACCAGGACAAAGATTCAAGAAAGTAGTAAGGATTTGTTTATTCAAAAGTGACCAAGTAGAATGGAAAATTCCTAATCTTTAATTTGGAAGGTTTCTAAATATATTTCATACATAACAATTTTCACGAAAGGTTTACAGAAAAAAAGTCTTCTATGTATATATCCTTCTATTCACTATTATCTCTAATATATAATGATGTATATAAATGGAATACATAATGTATTATATATAATGTAATATATATTGATACATAATGTAATTATACTTTTTAAAAAAGATTTATTTATGAATATAAGAACCGGGGTATAAGCCAGAGGTACAGGAGGTGAGAGGATTCACCAGGAGAGTGGGGAACAGAACAGGCAGATGTACTAAAATACACTGCTGAGGGAAGCAGCAGATGAGCCAGGAGAGGTCTGCTGCTGTGCCATGTGGGTTGCTCCCTGCTATAGAGGCTGGCAGTAGTTTGATAGTGCTGTCTTCAACCCCTGCACCACCAGGGAGGCCCAATTACACATTTATTAAGAAGGATTTATTTTATTATGCATATAAGAACTGGGGTTCAGGTCAGAGGTGTGTGTGTGTGTGTGTGTGTGTGTGTGTGTGTGTGTGTGTGTGTGTTGGGGGCGGTGGTGGTTTGAGAGGATTCACCAGAGACAGAGTGGGGAAACAGAACAGGCAGGCTGACTAAAATACACTGCTGGAGAGAGCAGCGGGCAAGTCAGGAGAGGTCTGCTCCACCATGTGGTAGCTCCCTGGCCTCCTGGGGATCGAACTCGTGCTGCAGTGGCTGTGGATAGCTTCATAGGTTGCCTCTTAACCCTTTGCACCACCAGGGAGGCCCTTACACATTTTTTTTAAAAGAGGAAAGGGATCTTTTATAAAACAAACAAACTAGTTTCACTTTATTTTGAAAAGAGGTCCACTAGGAAATCTGATTATTAAATGTGTCTTTTCTGTCATTAGTCTATAAACAGGCAAAGATAAAGACACATAAATACAGAAATAATAAAAACCTGGACAGAAACTTGATATACTTCAAAAAAAAAAAAAGCTACTCCAAGGAGTAAAAAAAATTTAGTTAAAATACAAAGTTAAAATGTTTGGGGGTGGGGGCCGGGAGGGGAGGGATTGGGGTAAGAATGGGGCATGTGCAGTTGTATGGGGGAATATAAAAATAAAATTTAAAAAAAAAAATAAAGAAAGAAAGAAAGAAAAAAAAAGTATAAATTTACGTATTTTTTAATATGGTATGGGAGTCTACAAATAAACATCAAGACAACAGTTGCTACAAAGATAGCTAATTCTATTAGTTTGCTAGATAAATAGCCACTTCCCTTCACAATCATCATGACCTTAACAATTCTACTTATATGCATCATGCACCTCTCTCTGTCTATTTACTACCTAAACTAAGAAAGGAAGAAAGGAAAAAGCAAAGGAAGGAGTCCGGGCAAAGGGGCTGTGTAAGCTTCAAGAAGGTAAGGGAATTTCAGTGTTAATGCTCCAGAATCTAGAAGAGTCTCAGGTACATAGTAGGTAATCGATAAATAATTAATGAATAACTCATTTTTATCTCAGAATTTACATATCACCCCTAAAAATGAGGATAAAAAACAATTTTTTTTTTACATATAATATGTAGTCTATAAAATGTAGATGTTAAAATGTCCTTTAAAATGCCTCTGAAGGAGGCCTCCCTGGTGGCGCAAGGGGTTAAGCACAGCACTATGAAGCTATCTTCAGCCTCTGCAGCAAGAGTTCAGCCCCCCAGCCAGCCAAGGGGCAACACTCATGGAGTAGTAGATCTCTCCTGTCTGGCCCATTGCTGCCCTCAGCAATGTATTTCAGTCAGTCTGCCTGTTCTATTCCCTAGACTGTCTCTGGTGAATCCTCTCACCTCCTGCACCTCTAGCCTGTACCCCAGTTCTTGTATGCATAAATAAATAAATCTTTTTTAAAAATGCTTCTGAAAATTTACCAGAATAATGTACAATTTTGATTAGGTCAGTAAATATTTCAGTACCTTTTGTGGCATGAGTTAAATTTCAATTTTATAAAATGTAGTAACAATTAAGTTCTAATGCTTGTATGGGTTTTAAGTAGAAAATTATAGGTAGATGACTACTAATATAAAACAAACAAAAAGTACCATTTGCCTTTTAAAGGAAAAAACAACATGAAAATTGTTTTGGCCAATAAAAATTTTTACAACTCAATTACAGAATATATCACTTCTAGCAATTATAATTTCAGCAGCAAAAAAACAAACAAACAAACAAAAAAAAACCCATCAGATAACATACCTTGTTTAATTTTGCCTCCAAATTGGTCTTCCAAAAGCCCATGGACCACTAATTTATAGATCATGGCTTGAGCTCGTTCCAGATCAGCTAATCCCAAAGCTCTCTTTATGGGTGACCTCATGACTGCTCGCTTTACCATGTGTCTCATCAAGAATTGCAGGGCTGCACGCATCTCCACATCTTCATGAACAACTGGAGAGCTTGCACAGTCTGAGTTGTGACCATTTTCGGCCAGAACTTTTGGTATCAGCAACAACTCAGCATATTTACTACAGCCAAGAAGAGCACTAAGTGATTTCATAGCACCGAGGTAGAGATAGGACAGTTGGACTGCTCTGATTTCTGATTGGGCTATGTCATGGTTTTTAGACATGTGTTCATGATTTTTTCTTTTTCCTTCTGTTATTTGATGCTGGGATTCCACGCCTGGCAGTGTTGGATCTAAAGAAAATGAAGGTATTTCATTTTCTGATTTGGAGCTTGTGGTACCCAGACTTTTGGCATCATCAGATGGTAAACCTGTTCGCATATCTAAAGCAGACTCATTTTCAGTTTTCTGCTCAACATCTCCTTTCTCCTCAGACTCATGTCGGTGTTTCTTTTCATGTCGCTTGGTGCTTTGTTTACCCATGTCTTCGTGAATGCCGGTCAGATACGTGAGGTCCAGCAGCACAGAAGCTGTCAAGCCCCGGAATCTTGCCACATCAAACGGCAGTGGTTCACAGGGTTCCAGATTATACAATGGAGTATCACTAGGCGACCAAAAAGTTGGGAAGCTTTAATAAAGATCAGAATGACACAGGAAGAAGCAAGTGAGGGATAGACAAGAGGAAGGTACAGAACATAATGTAGACAATATATGATGCATCATGTACACATTACAGAGAAAACTTATACAAACTAGAGAAGTCATTACAAACAGAGAGAAAAATGAGCCTATTATGAGCAAATGGAGAGATACAATGTTAAATACAAAAGCAATGACTTGTGCATGTACTTTTAAATTACTTTGTAGTCTTCAATTAATGCTTCTAATTTATAGTTTAAGTAAAACATGATGATATACTTTCTGATATTTGGCAAGAATGCTAAATAAAAAAAAATGCTACATTATACAAAGTGTAACAGAAAGCTTTAGCAAGTATATAAAGTTTTGTGATATGCATTTGTTACATTAACCAAAATCTAGGTTCTAACTTAACCTTACTAATCTTATTTTCTCTTTGTCTCATTTTTAATTGCTTTATTTTGTTTTATTCCAAGGGACATCTTAATAAAGAACCATAAATCCCTGAATAAACAAGACAGAGAATAAAAGAAAAGTAGATACTTTTCACTTAATAATGTAAATTTTTCACTGTTTTCTTAGCTTGGTCGAGGAAGGGGATGGATTACATTAATCCCTGAAATTGTGTATAAAATTTATTTGTGAGCATTTTTTCAGCTGAAAGGGTCCGCTGTTATCATTTGATTCTAAAACATTCCTGCCTCCAAATAATACTTAAGAATCACTGTTTTACATATTATCCAATGTCACATTAATATTAAAAAGGATTCATCAATAAATCTATATTGCAAAATATGTAGCATCTAAAAATTGAGTCTCCTTATCAATGAAGATACTTAATATATATTTCCTTTTAAACATGTAAAGTTTCATACAAACCATCCTATCTGATTACAAACACATAAATGCCTTTAAATATATAATTTACATCAAATAAGTGTAATTTCATATCTATCCCAAATGGTGTACACTGAAGCAACAGAAATAGGGGCTTTTAAAATAAAAGCAAAACAAGAATACTTAAAATCATAAAAAATCCAAAATCTAATTTTGGTCACTGCCCTACATTCAAGGCACTCCTACACAAAATGTAACTCATGGATCTTTTGGCTGACCGTTTTCTTCCTGTTGTGTAATGGAAATGATCAAAAAAGCAGAAAGTCACATGAAAATTAGAAAGCCTTCAAGGTATCTCATTAAATCTAAACCAGTGAGCTTACCATTCCTTCACAAAACAAAACAAAAAACTATATTATTTTACAAACCACTAGTATTCCAAGGGACACAAGTTTGGGAAATATTCCTTTATGAAATAATAGTACTCATCAGTTATATGGAAAAAATTATTTACACAAGTTAACTGGCAGCTCACTTAAAACATATGATTAATCACTGTCTATATGCAATGGCCCATTTCACCATTAAATACTCATTTGCTAAAAGTGAAACTCAAAAGATCATACCTGATAGTAATTTCTGCTTCATCCCATTGGACCTTGGCAGACGTGCTGCCCTCTTTGACCACTCCCAGCAGCGTGGCATGGCGCCCAGTTTGCTTGTGAACACACCGACCTCCAACTCTAAGGCCAGCATCAACTCCTCCTATCACTGCCAGCACAGGCCACACCTCTATGCAAAGTGTCCTCAGCTGCAGCTCTGAGAGGTCAGCAAGGCCATGTCTATTATGTTTACCTTTCTCTTCCTCTTTGCTTTCCTTCTCCTCTCTCATTTCATTTTCCTCTCGGCTTTGAACCGAGCGGCTTTTCTTTAGTTTCTGACCTGACTCTTTAATACATATCTTTATTTTGTGCAGCCTTTCCATCATTTTTTTGTTAATGCAGTAAGTCCAACGGTCTGTTCGATGAAGGATACGGATAAGCTGAATAGTGGCTTCTGCCAGCACTGCTGCTACTGGACTACAAATGGGGTCTCCTGGAAGTAAGTCTCGTGGTGTGCCACGCATTTGCATATCACAAATTTTCACCTACACAAAAAAAGAGGGTGGCAGATGTGAGATATTAAACTATTACTTGCAAAAAAATTCTAGCATATGTAATATGTTAAACTAATACATGTGTATTATGCTACTGGCCCAAAGAGAGCAAATGTTACAGCTCTATTGAAGTTAGTATCAGTTGGTCCTCTAATAAGTTGCCCTATTATTTAAACTTCCTGCAGGCTATGACTATTGGAGCAGGTACAGCTACCTGAAAGATGTATATAGACCAAAGTGTGTATGTCTGACTCAATGTATGCTGTGAAGACCTATTCGCTCTCATCCTTAAGACTTCAGAGTGATAATGAATGTTGGGGCCATCTTACATTGTTCAAGGAGAACAAAGATAAAGTCATGAGTGTAGGTTACTGAAATATCTCCTATCTGGACACACAATTCAAGTAAGACAGAGGTTAAAAGAGGAGCAAGACTTGTATTCAAATCTTAACTCTGATAATTTTGAGAAATTATTTAGTCATGCTAAACCTCAGGTTTTTCATCTGTTAAAAAAAAAAGGCACTAGTAATAGTATCCATCTCTTATGATTATTTTAAATATTAAGTGAGCCTTGGCAAATAAAGCACTTAGTACAACACAAGTCACCAGTAAAATTTCAAAAAAAAAATGTTAGCTATTATTTGTACTGTTTTTATCAGAGATTCTGAACTTAACAGAAAAATTTTCTGGGTAGATTAAATTGATTGCTATACAGCCTGAAGTTGAATGAATTCCTTCAAGATTCACAAATGGTGGGGAGCACCATTCTAACAAGTACATATCAGAATGTATTTCAAGTTGTGAGAACTTATCAGGCAAAGAAATAATAGCAGGAACTGGGTTACCTCTTTATTTCACCTCCAGTTCAATTCTATTGACTACCTGTCCAAGATGCAGCTCCCCTTTCTCATGAACAACTAGCCTAAAATCATACCTCCTTGAAATTTTAAAAAATATATTTAAAAGTATAGACTAAAATCTAACTTTTATGGTTAGGATTTACCAAGTCCAGCATTTCCATTACAGAACTATTATGTCTCTGTGTGAAAACTTTTCACTAAAAAAATAACAAGAAACACTAAAGACCAAACTTAGGCTACACTGTATCTTTAAATAAAGTGATGGAGTTTTATATGAGGTTGTCTGGGTTTTATATGAGGAGGAAAAAAAAGAATTTAGAGAAAGGATCTCTTTTTTTTTTTTAAGATTTTTATTTTATTATTTTTTTATACAAGAACTGGGGTACAGGCCAGAGGCACGGGAGGGTGAGAGGATTCGCCAGAGACAGAGCGGGGAGCAGAACAGGCAGACAACTGAAATACACTGCTGAGGGGAGCAGTGGGCAAGACAGAAGAGGTCTGTCACACCATGTGGATATATCCTTGGCTGGCTGGGAACTGAACCTGCGCTGCAGAGGCTGCAGACAGCTTCACAGCACTGTGCTCAACCCGCTGCGCCACCGGGGAGGCCTGAGAAAGGGTATCTCTTAATATTATCTTCCTGGGAGCTTGGGGCTCAAATTACAACATTCACAAGGTCAGAGAACTCTCTGAATGAATGAAAGGCCATTTTTCCACAACTGTAATTTCCATTATTCAGCTAATGGCACCTGGTTACATTTAGGATTATTTCTAGACCTCTCTCTCATATGTGTAACTCTTAAAGAACTAGATCATTCCTAAACTATTTCCTATAATTCCACATTTGATAGTTGACTCACTATATTCAAAAGTGCCAGAATATCAAATAATGCCTTAAAAAATAAAGGCAATTTCTAAAAGCATCTAACCATCTTTTATATTTTATAGTTTCTGGTAAACTATATGAGCATGTATTTTTAATGGTAGAAATAGTTTATTTCTATCTGATGCAAACAAATAGTAATAAAAAATGACAAATATCCTTTATGATTAGTATAAAGATTTAAAATTGCATTACCTTTTCCCCTGGATTGCTACTATAGAACATTACACATGGGTACAACTCTGATGCATCCACATCTTCAAAAGCTAGTTTGGGTTCCTATAGAGATAAAAAAATATATATTTTTTAACCACATTAAAATTACTACACTTGACAGTCCTCCTGCCCACCTGGGACTATGCAGATGCCTCTCCTTTCCTACTTTGCCTTATAAACCATCCTTTTAAAATGTAAAATAAATAATAAAATAAAATTACTACAGTCAAATCTCAGTTAACCTTGCTACCAAGCTAATTCCAACTATAATAAATGATTCTAATTGTTTCAACAATGTAACTGGGATTGTACTATTTTTCTGCTAAATACTGTAAGAATCAAAAGGTATTAGAGGAAAAGTAGAGAAGAGTGGATAATCTATACATTGAATGATACTTAAATAACTGAGTTGAGTATAAGGAAAACAATGTTTATGAATGAGTTTCAAGTACCTCTCCATTCTTTCCAAAGGAAATGGTCCTGGCTTCCATGTCTAAGACACAGGTAATGAAATCTCCTTGTGTAAAGCTGGACAATGTCAGGGTCTGTTCTCCATTGTGATAGAGGTTACCACTGTAGGCACGATAGAGCCACATATCCGAGGTAGTGCGGTGGTTAAAGTCATGTACTGGCCAGCGAGAAACTCCGACACATGTGCCTTCATTACCTCTGTTTTCCTTCACAATGTAAAACTAAAACGAAAATAGTAATGTTCACTAATATTCAAAAAACCTACTATTAACTGCATAAACCAATCCTGAGATGTATATTTATAAAAAATATGTATAAGGGAACATCACAAGTTTATTTCAGTTTAAGTGAAAATAACATACAAGTGAAATAATTTTATCATTTTATAAGCACTTTAAAACATTTAATCTTTATCTTGTACAGCATTTAGAAAAACCCATCAGTACTTATTTATTTATTTTTAAAGATTTATTTATTTATGCGTACAAGAACTGGGGTATGGGGGGTGAGAGAATTCACCAGAGACAGAGTAAAGAGCAGAACAGGTGGATTGACTGAAATACACTGCTGAGGGGAGCAGTGGGTGAGTCAGGAGAGGTCTGCTGCACCATGTGGGCCACCTCCCTGGCCGGGGATTGAACCCATGCTGCAGTGGCTGCAAACAGCTTCACAGCGCTGCATCTTAACCTGCTGCACCACCAGGAAGGCCCCACCATGAGTACTTATTTAAAATAAATAATTTTAGTTTACATATTAATTATGAACCTGAGAAAGTATGTCCAGTCCAGAAAATTATTAATTAAAAGCTTCAATTCTTTACATAACAAATTTTCTAACTACTCTCATGTAATTCTTTTATGCTTCTGTGAAAAAAGAATTAATACAGCGCCTGAGATTGCTATCTTTAAAAATGCAAGCTTACAATACTAACCCTTGGCCATTATCTGGAAAACAGTTTATTACACTGATACTTTTCCGTACACTGAAAATCTTCCGTAAGTGATAATGGAGGCTCAGAATGTTTGAACAATTTGGTTTATACTGAATACCTGCTATTCTTCTGGCAGCCTAGAGTTTTGATACACGTCAAGCAAAGGGTGCCTTCATTTCCAGCCTAACATAAAAATTATGAGCACCAAGTCTCTAACGGGTTTCCCTTAAACATTACACACGTAGTTGCATTTTTTAAAATATATATTTTTAAGATTTATTTTTATTTATTTATGTGTACAAGAACTGGGTGTGGGCCTCCCTGGTGGTACAGGGGTTAAAGACAGTGCTATCAAGCTATCACTGGCCACTGCAGCATGAGTTTGATCCTTGGTTGGCCAGGGAGCAACCTACATGGCACAGTAGACCTCTCCTGACTCACCCACTGCTCCCCTCTACAGTGTATTTCAGTAGATCTGCCTGTTCTGCTTCCCACTCTGTCTCTGGTGAATCCTCTCACTCCCTGCACCTCTGGCTTACACCCCAGTTTTTGCATGCATAAATAAATAAATCTTAAAAAAAAACCTGGGAGTAGGGAAGTGGTGGGGGTGGGGATGAGAGGATTCATCAGAGACAGAGTAGGGAGCAGAACATTCAGATCTACTGAAATACACTGCTGAGGGGAGCAGTGGGCAAGACAGGAGAGGTCTGCTGTGCCATGTGGGTTAGCTCCCTGGCGGGGAACAAACTCATCCTGCAGTGGCTGGTGATAGCTTGATAGCACTGAGACTTTAACCCGTGCGCCACAGGGAGGCCCTGTAGCTGCATTTTGTTGCTGGGGAGAGTGAACTCTATGTCATCCCTCAAGGGCAGGAAAAAACACAAGGAAGGCTACAGATGGATTCAGATATTAATTACATTCCTATTTTGTGATTTCTACCAAAGTTGAAAGTTAGAGAAGTATGACCCCTCTGTTCACTCTTAACAGACTGGACACTCAACCTCCTCTTGGAGATGTTCCATTGCTGCTGACTTATTATATTCAGCCTTTTGGATTAGCTGCAGTTTGCAACAATAGTCTGATAGATTGACTGTACATGTCTCATCTTTTCCCTGATGTATGTGTTTTAGTAAGGCAAATTATTAAATGAGGGTCTCCCCAGAAAGAAATTCATCTGCTCACTGTATAAATGATTAGGATAAAAGAGGTGGAAATTTTTGTAAACTTCTAATTTTTTTTTTTAAGATTTATTTATTTATACAAGCACTGGGTAGTCAGAAGCATGGGAGGGTGAGAGAGTTCACCAGAGCCAGAGCGGGGAACAGAACAGGCAGACTGATGAAATACACTGCTGAGGGGAGCAGCGGGCACGGCAGAAGAGGTCTGTCGCGCCATGTGGGACCCTCGGGATCGAACCAGTGCTGCAGAGGCTGCGGGCAGCTTCGCAGCCCAGCGCTCAACCGCTGCGCCACCAGGGGAGGCCCTAATTTTTTTTTTTTAATTAATAAATTTTATTTTTATATTCCCCATACAATTGCAATCCCCCCATTCTGACCCCAATCCCTCCCCTCCCCCCCACCCCCC